CGTTGAAAATGACCAGCTCACTGGACGGCTCGAGCTCACTTCGCTGCAGTAGCTTCGTAAGTGTGTATTTGCCAATATCCCGAAATCCTGAACATACTAATTGTTTACAAAAATGGGTCTTTTTTAACTCTTCAAGACCAAAAACATATAAGACAAGTCATGGTTTAAAAGCCTCGCCTTATAACACTGTAAAAAACAGATGCACCTGGGAGTAGCTCAAGTGGTAGCATATGCCAACAGCAACCGCCCGCTGGTAGATATGTCGATGACTCCCCACTTAAAGGGTGAATTAAAAGCAAACTGATGCTTGATTTGAATCTCTGGCAGGTGCCAATACCAATTTCCCACCGAAACGCATGAAAAAGGTGCGGAGGAACTCGCTAGGCCTCTACCAGAACCGCACTGTTTCCCTCGGCAGGAGTGCAACGCTACCTGTCGCTGTGCCGCGCCAGCCACCATATAAGTACCTAATTTCTAACTCATTAGATTCTCAAACACTTGGCCATCAAATCCTCAAACAAGCACACTGTGGTCAACTGATCAACTCCGTTATTCTCCGATCGCTGCTTTAAAGACGACTTTCATTCTTCTAGGTCGGAGAAGCCCTCTCCACTTGCTAATTCTATGAGATTTTAAAAGAATTCATTTGGACAGTCTATACTCGTATAGCATTGAAGAGTGCTTGCCTGGTGAGCTCAGTGCTTCGTCGGTATTTGTATCAATAGTTTTCCAGCAACGCTGTACCAGAAAAGGCTCATCGAAAAAGTAAGCCTGGTCCAGCAGACCGACCGCATTTGTAACTGTGAGACCACTCGATAGATAGGCAACACAGACCTTGGCCAACGTCTTCACATCGTATTTCTTAGCTGGAAAAAACCCAGGCTGGAACGCACCAGGCTTGCCGATGCGATCATGCGTTTTGGCACTAAACTCGCAGATCACTAACAGCAAGAATGATTCCCGCATTGTGGCCTAACACTCTAGCTCATATTGGCGTATTTTGACCTCTTCAGGCACGCAAGGGTAAGGACATCCGTTAAAGCCGCATGGACCTCCACCTCTATGATAATCAGTTTTTTAATCAGTTTTTCGGTAAATGCTCGCTCTTTGGGAAAATGCAAATTTCATGGGAACTGGAAAAGGCTTATTAAATTTGCAAGACGCATTCGTTTCTGATTCTGCGAAAAAATTAAGAATTTCACCTCAATGCAGAATAAAGACCACACATTAAAATACAATATTCCAGCGAAGTTTCAGCTTCACGCCTTATTTGGCAAACAAAATAGCCACTTCGTTACAAATGTATTTGAAGTGCCCCAAGTCACGGCGCAAGGGCAAATCGGAACTCAGTTTAGGTATACGATTTCCCATATGGGCGATAAACACACTGACAAAATTTGACGTAATAGTATGTGCTGACAGCTGAAATTAGAATATTTAGCTCGCACATGCACATACAATATCCCTGCAAAGCTTCAGCTTTGTACCTTGCGTGGTTCGTGAAATCATTTCCCATCAAAGGATGCGTTTTTGCACTAAATTCGCAGATCGCTAGTAGCAGGAATGATCCCTCCATTGCGGCCTAATACTTCAGCTCATACTGGCCGTGTTTTGGTCTGTTCCGGCATGCAGAGGAAAGGACATTGGCTGGGGCCACATGGACCTCCACCTCTATAAACATTTGGTTTTTGCATGAAGTCCAGACGGTTTTTTGGTAAATGGTTGCTCTTTGAAATCAGTGGTGACGCGCACTAGGCGGGCCCGTGCGATCATGCGTTTTTGCAGTGTTTCGTGCTGCAGTAAGATGACTCGAAATTCCGCTAGCTAGTACACACTGGTCCTCGAATTTCGGGAAGTCAGTTATCCAGGCTATACTTGGACAGGGAACATTCCCTTGAAATCTCAGATTTCCAGCTTTCTCAGTTCCCGAGTTACCAAAATTCGAGCCAGAAAATTTCATAGGGCCGTACGTGGCAGCCACGCATATTAGGGGGCTGAATATGGTAAATTGAAGTTGTAGATGATTTCCTGAAAGTTTCAGCCCCCAGCTTCCTTGGTTCCGGAGTTAGCCATTTCCCGCCAAAAATTTTCACGGGGCCGTATGTGGCAGCCACGCACAATGGGGCTGAATTTGATAAATTGAAGTTGTAGATGAGTTATGAACATTTCCTGAAAGTTTCAGCCCCCCAGCTTCCTTGGTTCCGGAGTTAGCCATTTCCCGCCAAAAATTTTCACGGGGCCGTACGTGGCAGCCGCGCACAATGAGGGGCTGAACTTGATAAATTGAAGTTGTAGATGGGTTATGAACATTTCCTGAAAGTTTCAGTCTCCCAGCTTCTGTGGTTCCCGAGCTAGTGATTTTCGCGTCAGGAACCCTCACGAGGCCGTACGCGGGAACCACAAACCCCCGGGGGCTGAATTTGAAAACTTTGAGTTGTACTTGGACTGGAAATATCATCCCAAAGTTTCAGCTTTCTAGCTTTTCTAGCTCTCGAGTTATCGATTTTCCCGCCAAAACTTTGAGGCGCTCGTACGCGGGGCCTAGACGTGCTAAAGGGTTGGTACCGCGGTCCTAGGGTGGCACTTGGCCGGGGAACCCAGTCGCAAAATTTCGGTGCCGGAGCTTGCTTGAGGGCCGAGTTGAAATACCCGGACAGACGCACACACAAACACAAGCACACACACACATACACACACACATGCACACTGGGGTCGTCACAATATGTGTTTTTGCATATGCATATTATGCAAAAACGCATAAAAAATGCAAATTTCATGGAAATTGGAAGAGGATTATGAAATCTACAAAACAAACTCGTTTCTGATTTTGCGGCAAAGTTAAGAATTTCACCTTCAAGCAGAATAAAGACCACACATGAAAATTGAAAATTCCAGTGAAGTTTCAGCCTCGCACCTTATTTATTAAACGAAATAGCCACTTCGCTACAAATATATTTGAAGTGCCTCAAGTCGTGGCGCAAGGCCAAATCAGAACTCAGTTCAGGAATGCGATTTCCCATAAGGGCGACAAAAATACTGACAAAATTCTAGCCACTGTTTTTCGGCTAGTTTTCGAGTTAGCACAATGCCAAGTGCAAACTTTGACGTGATCGTACGTGCTGCACTAGCGTGCGCAACAACTGAATTTGAAATCTTTAGCTGCGAAGTCTCAGCTTTGTACCTTGCCTGGTTCGCGAAATCATTTCTCGCGAAAGGAAACTGCATATTTTTTTCGGGGGTTCGTAAGCCAGATTCAGGTGCGTATGAGCAAAGATTTTGAAACGGGAGGAAGGCACACGATGTGGAAAGATGTCCCCAAAATTTCAGCCTCCGGCTTTTCTTGTTGTTGAGTTGAAAGTGGGTGAC